ACTGCGGGAGAATTCACGTTTTCGCAGCCAGATTTCTCGTAATGAACTGTGAGCTTAGGCCTCCACTCCCAGTAAAAGCTACTGATGGAAGCTCCATGTTCACCCTTGGATTCATCGGGCAAACCTGGAATCGAAATCTTCGAGGCAGATTCCCGTCTGCTTGTTATAGTTCCAACATCTTCATCCCCATCGATAACATACCCTTCAGAGATTCCATTTCTAACCACAAAAATGGATCTTCTAGCCACTTCGTACGATGATTTCGAATATCTAGATCCTTTCCTATGATCATTCAGTGAAGAGAATTTCGGTGGTCCAATTCCCTTCCTACCATTTAAGCACAAAACTTTGACGTTCCTAGATGAATCTACACTTCTCTTGACTGATCTGGAACTAGGGCTCACCACATGAATCCGCAGTGGTGTGTTCTGTGAGACAATTTCCATCACAAGTTCCTGTAAATGAACAAGTAAAAAGGGCATATCGTTTCAGAAGGAATTCATGTTTCGAAGGGGCAGGACTATCTGGAACGTATAAACTTGAGTCCGCTAGAAGATCGCAGAGACAATTTACCCAAATATGATCAAGCGAAATTCAAAGTTTTCAGCAATTTGGCAAACAAATAGTGAGCATGAACATGATTAATTGAAACTAAAGCAAAATTACCGGCTCCCTTTTATTTTCCAGGAGTTTCTCGGCAACCAAACAGACGCTTTAAACATCAGAGAACAGACCTACTCACCTTCTAAGCAAATCTTCCTATCAGATTCCCACCAAAAGAAGGGAACCCAGGAGCTGAAGATCTCCAGTCAATCGATCAATCGAGGAAAAAAATAATCTTTTAGATCGCAGAAGCGAGACGTATCATCAGATGGGTTTTCCATTCAACCTTGTGTATTTGGGAGAATCAAGAAAAAATCCAAAGGTAAAGACAAGAACTGGTTGCTTGGCGTGTTTTTCTTGCTTTGCTTTAAGCCTCATCGTCGGCCGATGGAGACAGACATTCTTTGGCTTTTTCTCCTCAACCTTCAAAACCCTTTTGCCACGATTTACCCGTGTGTTTCTTCCTCAATATGGACACATCGAACAATTGTGGGAGATTGTTAAAACCCGTGAACTCACTCAAATTTTGTTCTTCTGGATTTGTTTGTGATCTTAATTTGTTTTCAGAATGCAAAATGGTCATCGTTGGGGGAATTTTGAGTTCATTGTATTACTGTGAAATCTGAATGATTTTCTTGTCTCGATTACTAAAAATTTCTTTTTTGCTTTGCTTTGTTGTGGGCCTTCTCGTTTAAACTTCTTTTGTTTGGTTTTGGGCCTTCTCGTCTTGGGCTTTATTCATCGTCTATTAATTGAATTTTTGGAAGAATTTCTTTTTCGTCTTGTCTCGAGTACTCTGATGTAAATCATGTAATCGGGCCAGTTTTTGAATTCAAATGGGCCTAATTTCTGACCGTTGGGAAAAACTGGGTTAAAACGGAATACCGGAAATGCCCTTACGCTTACACTGAAATTTTCCTGTTTTGTGGAAATGCCGACCCTTAAATAAGAGGGTCTGACACTCTCATTTGTCATTACTCTCCTTCCTATTCGTCTTTCCTCTCTCTCTCTCTCGATGGCGATTTTCTTCTTCGCTATCTTTTCCAGTTCTTGGAGTTTCTTGCGAATCTGTT